GAGCGTAGACAATGGCGTAACATTCTTTTTCAGTGACTGACCAGTTGCTTTCCCTCTCAGACAGCTTCTTGCTGAGAAACACTGCAGGGTGGAATTCTTGATCCGGTCCTTCCTGTATTAAAACTACTCCCACACCACGCTCGGACGCATCTGTGGTTACTAGGAACCCTTTGTCAAAGTCTGGGGCCCTTAGCACAGGGTCAGACATGAGTGTCGCTTTAAGCTGGTTAAAGGCCTTCTGACACTCTTTGGTCCACTGAATGGCATTTGGCTGTTTCTTTTTGGTTAGGTCTGTCAGTGGGGCAGCGATTTGGCTGTATTGTGGTACAAATCGCCTGTAATATCCGGCCAAGCCTAAGAAAGATTGAACCTGTTTCTTTGACTTTGGGACAGGCCACTTTTGGATAGCATCCACTTTGGCCTGTAGGGGGCTGATAGTTCCTTGACCCACCTGGTGTCCAAGGTAAGTCATTCTGTTTAGGTCTATTTGACACTTCTTAGTCTTAACAGTTAGTCCTGCCTCCCTTATGCGCTCAAAGACATTTTGTAGATGTTCCAGGAACATTTGTTCTGCCCAGGAATCCAAAAATATGGCCAGATCGTCAAGGTAGGTGACTGCATATTCTCCTAATCCCGCTAGGAGACCATCTACAAGTCTTTGGAAGGTGGCGGGTGCATTTCACAGCCCGAAAGGGAGTACATTAAATTCATACAGCCCGACATGTGTGGTGAAGGCTGACTTTTCCTTGGCAGATTCATCTAGCGGTACCTGCCAGTACCCCTTGGTTAAGTCCAAGGTAGAGATGAACTGGGCCCGTCCGTTCATCTGTGCGTGGCATTGGATAGTTGTCTGGGCGAGTTACAGCATTTAGCTTACGATAGTCCATGCAAAAACGTATTTCCCCATCTGGTTTGGGAGCTAGAACCACTGGAGATGCCCATGCACTTCCAGAGGGGCGGATTACACACATCTGTAGCATATCCTGGATCTCCCGTTCTATGGCAATTTTAGCTTGAGGAGACACCCGGTAAGGCTGGACCCTAATTGGGTGAGCATTACCTGTGTCAATGGAGTGGTATGCCCGTTCAGTCAGTCCTGGGGGGACTGAGAATGTCGGCATGTAGCTAGTGCACAGCTCCTTGATCTGCTGTCGCTGCATACGCTGTATCTGGGCCTGAGGACCTCTGGTGTGATTTCGGTGCAAAGAACTGTAATCTGTTGGGGTTCTTGGGGCAGCTGGCCTTCACATGGCCCGGCTCATTACATTTAAAACATCGTCCAGCTGATGGATCACTGGGGCGAGGCGGGTTGCTGGAGAATGTTGTGGCGGGATGATAAGGTGGCTGGAGGGTTCCTCGGGGGTAGCTGGGGCCTTGGGCTGCCCCCGGTAGTAGGGTGAGGTCTGAGGTTGTCCCTTCTGGTATCCGCTCCAACAGCGACCAGTTTTTTTCTTTTCTGCCACCTCCACCTGTTAGGATATAGATATTCAGGCCTGTCTGTAAAGGCCTATACTCTAGGAATTTAGGTGTATTCTTATCACTTGGCTAATTATAGAGGTATAAAAGAAAGAATCAAAATCACTATCTGCTGGTGTAAGGGCCTTCTCTTACTGTGACAGTCTGAGGCCCTGTTCTTAGGCTAAGGCCTTTGGCTAAGCAGCAGAGGCAGCCATAAGCTGGGAAGCGAACAGTCACATCCTCACATTCCAAACTAGTCACATTGAAATAAGGTGCTATTGGGCTGTTAGGCACTATCAGGACAGGATTGTATTCCTATCACCTCCAGAGTAAGGGAAGTGCCTAGAAAATGTAAAAGGAAACTTAGTTTGATAGCATCCTGTCTGGTAAGAACTCACTTATCAATAGCTGGGATGTGAAATCCTCACTTCTGTATTGTTTTGTCATTATAGTTCCCACTTTGCTGTTGTTTGTCTGTATAATCTCTGTCTGGTTCTGTGATTGTTCCTGTCTGCTGTATAATTAATTTTGCTGGGTGTAAACTAATTAAGGTGGTGGGATATAATTGGTTACATAATCATGTTACAATATGTTAGGATTGGTTAGTTAAATTTCAGGAAAATGATTGGTTAAGGTATAGCTAAGCAGAACTCAAGTTTTACTATATAATCTGTAGTCAATGAGGAAGTGAGTGGGTATGGGTGGGGGTGGGGGTGTGAGATGGGAACAGGGAATGGCGGTAAGGAAATTGCAATCATGTTTTGCTAAAGAGGGAGATGGGAACAGGGAATGGGGGTAAGGAAGTTAGAATCATGTTTGGCTAAGGGTAGGAATGGGAACAGGGACACAGGTGTCAGGCTCTGTGGTGTCAGAGCTGGGAAGGAGGATACTAAGGAAGGAAACTGGAATCATGCTTGCTGGAAGTTCACCCCAATAAACATTGAATTGTTTGCACCTTTGGACTTCGGGTATTGTTGCTCTCTGTTCATGTGAGAAGGACCAGGGAAGTAAGTGGGTGAAGGAATAAGCCCCCTAACACCACCCATTTGGCTCCAATCTCCCCCACCTCGATTACAGTTTTGGGCTTCCCATCTTGGATGTATCTTTCTATTTCCTCAGGAACATCCTCTAAGAACTGCTCCATTTGCATTAGGAAGGGCAAATCTTCTGGAGATTTCACACCTGCTCCTGATATCCAGGCATCCCAATGTTTCACAATGTGGTAGGCATGTCGGGTAAATGACACGTCTGGTTTCCACCTTAGGGCTCTGAACCGCCGACGGGAATGCTCGGGAGTTAGCCCCATTCTGACTCTCGCCTTGGTTTTAAACCGTTCATACTGGTTCATGTGGTCCTTCGGCATTTCAGCCGCCACCTCAGCTAAGGGTCCACTGAGCTGTGACCTCAGCTTTGTATTGGTCTGCAGAGATGCTGTACCAAGGCAGGCCTTTTCGAAGTTTTCTAAGAAGGCCTCGGTATCATCGCCTGCCTTGTAGGTGGGGAACTTCCTGGGATGTGAAGTGGTACCTGGAGAAGGATTGCTATTCTGCTGAGCCTTTGCCTTCTCCATCTCCAGGGTATGCTTCCTCTCTTTTTCCTTCTCAGCATGCTTCCATTAGGCAAGAGTGGCAAATGTGGGTAGCCCAATGTGTAGCAAAGCACGGGATGGACTAAGGCCTAAGGTAATTCAGTGATTTACAGGGTAAGATTATAGGGCTTCTTCTTCAGCTTCTTCTTCTTCTTCTCTTCAGCCCTAAACATCTTTAAAGGTAGCAGTACAGTGTCACCATCCATGTCTGCCTTTAGGTCTGACTGACCCAGACAATATTTGCCCTATCGGAATCCTATCCTCTGTTTGTTGTCTACAGTGTCACCATCATTTTAGTCTTTTTGATTGCAGCGAATCCTGCACCCTGACTTCACATCCTTTATTCCTTCCAACTTCTTCATTGGTCTGGAAATCATTACACCTGACATTACTGGGTCTGGAACTCGTCGAGGGTCTCGCCCCTCCACTTTGCTCATTCTCTCCTGGAGCTCATATGCATATGCCCAGACAGTTTCACCAGGCTCCTGCTTGCTCTCAAATAACTCTTTTAGTCTGGTTCCAATAGGTACCTTTGTGAGAGATTAAGTTACCAATCTGCCTGAGGTATCAGGTGATCAGGCTGAGGCCACAGGATCGTTAGGGAAGGAAATGATGGAGGACACCAAGTAACTGAGTTTAAAGCTTTATTAATAAAATAAAGTAAAATAACAGCGGAGAGTGCTGAGGGATTCCCACATCACTCAGAGGAAGGAAGAAAGCGTTAATGTCCCAGCCCTAATCCACTTTCATACTCAGAGATCACCCGGCGCCGGAATAAACCCCGCTCCGCTGAGCCCCGGGGATGTGGCGCCGCCGGGACTTTCCAAAGAGAGTCGAGCATTTTTTCCATCCATTTGACAGCTGGAAATCACAGCCCCGGTGTAAACGCTGCAGCTCAGGATCCTGCCCCCAATAAAGGGCCCCCATGTCACAGAGTCACCATGGAGATAAAAGGCCCCGCCCCTCAGGCCCGATGACATCACAGCCCAGCGCTGGCCCGCAGGGCATTGGGGACAGTCACGTGGCTAAGGGCTGTGGACAGGGACACGGTGGGATTTCATGGGGTGGCTCAGGGAGAGGCGGCTGACGAGGGAGAAGCAGAGGCCTGGGGGGGGGGGCGCAGGGGGCACGAGGGTCACGGGGCACAGCTCCCACTGAGTGAGATTCACCATCTCCAGAGACAATTCCAACAACCTGCTGCCTCTGAAAATGACCGGCCTGAAGCCCAGGGGCACCGCCCGCTACCACTCTCGGTTCCCGGGCACTGTGTCTCCCCTTCCTGCCCAGAGCCCCGCTGGTCTGCGGTGCAGAGATCCCTCGCTTCATCTGTGAACTCCAATCCGGCGTGAGTCCTGTTCTGAGTCGCTCTCCCCTCAGAGACCTGGCACGTTGGCTCTCCCGGGTCCCATCCCTGTGGGTGTGGGAAAGACCACCGGAATATTCATACCGAGACTCAAGCTATAGCCACTAGATTATTCTTCCGTCCCATGGCTGGGAAATAAACAAGGAGTCTTTACACTGGTGCCTGTTGTAGATCCTAGGTGGGGAAGAGAAATTTGATCACGGGCTCTTCAGTCCGGCAGACAAAGGTACAACAGGATCCAATGCTGGAGGCTGAAGCTAGACAATGTCCAGCTGGAAAGAAGGTGATTTTTTAAAAAGACATTGAGGTGAATTAACCATTGGAACAACTGATCAAGAGTCACTGTGGACTCTCCGTCACTAGCAATTGTTGCCTCTATGATTCTGTGTCTTTCAGAAAATAAACTAATGCAAAATCCATCGAGGGAGATTTAGGTTAGATATGGAGTGGGGGGAGGACTTTCTAAGGATAAGCATATCTAACTATCTGCATTGGAACCGGTTACCTAGGGAGGCTGTGAAATCCCCAGCACCGGAGGTTTTTAAAAACAGATGAAGAACCAGGGGTGGTCTAGGTATATTGAGTCCTGCCTCAGTGCAGGAGGGTCGGCTCGCTGACCTCTTGAACTCCCTCTTCCAGCCCTACCTTTCTACAATTCTCTGAATTTCTTGTACTGTGTGACTGAAGCAGAAGGCAGTCAGAGTATTTCACTATCTTTAGTGACTTTCTCCAGCGCAGGATCCCATTAGGGTATTCGTAGTGAAGTAGATCACTGTGGGATCCCCCATCTCTAGCACAAGGATACACACCGGGTTCTTCAGGTTTCAGGCTGCTGATGTGCAAATGCACCAGGTTACTGGAGGCGTCTCTGGAGATGGTGAATTGCCCTTTCCCTGAGTCCAGGTAATATGGGGTACCTGCACTATCTATGCTGGAGACCCACTCCAGTCCCTTCCCAGGAACATGACGGATCCAATCCAGCCACTTGCTACTGATGAAGAAGCCGGAGGCTTCGCAGGAGAGGTGGAGAGGGCTTTTTCACATCCGCTCCAGACTCCACCGGCTGGACCTCTGACAGGAACTTCTGGGCGGAAGTATCGTGAATCACATCTGGAATTTTCAAAGGGTAAAGTCAAGGGGAATTAGATACCCCATTACCTAAGTCCCCTTCAAAAATGTCAATCAACATTCCAGTAGGCCCAGCTCCAAATCCCACTCAGACCAATGGAAGTTCTCCCCTTGCCTTTAGTGACCTTTGCACCAGGCCCATAAAGCACAATATTCCCCAATATCTCCGGAAAATGTGAGAAACCATCATTCCGTTAAAGGCCACTAGACTGAAGAGACAATTCAGCCAAAATATGCTGTTGATGCTGGATAAAGTGCTCATGGTGTCCCGGCATTAGCTGCCCAGACCCTCCTTGTGTCCAGCCATGCAGGTGCAGAGCTATTAAAGGACTTAGGGAGGGCATTAAGGATCAGCATTGGCATTTTTTTTTAAATAAGCTATGTTTTGAGCTCTACCCCTCAAGCTATCTTAGGTATTCATATTGTCCCCAGCACCGTACAGTTTGAGCATTTAGGGCAGGGGTGGGCAAACTTTTTGGCCCAAGGGCCACATTGGAGGGCAGGGTAGGGAGGCTGTGGCTCCCCAAACAGCCCAGTGCCCACCCCCTATCCACCCCCTCCCACTTCCCGCCCCGACTGTCCCGCTCAGAACCCCTGACCCATCCAAGCCCCGTGCTCCTTGTCTGACTGCCCCGAAGCCTATCCACCCCCCCACCGTCCCCTGACAGGCCTCCTGGGACTCCCACCTCTTATCCAATCCCCCTGCTCGCTGTCCTCGACTACCCCCTGGAACCCTCTGCCCCTTATCCATACCCCTGGCTCCCCACCGCCTTCCCATGCCGCTCAGAGTGGCAGGAGCTCTCAGCCACACTGTCCATGCTGCCCAGCTTTATCAATTTATCAAGATCAGTCGTGAAACCAGTTGGGTTTTTTCCCCCTTTCTAGCATTAATTCTGACTGAGATTTAATACCAAAAAAAAAGCCACCTAAAGGCATTTAGATTCCTGGTTTATATTAGGAAGAAAGGCAGTTTTGGAAATCTTAACCCAAGTAAACTGGAAACCTTTCCCTATTGTTACCTCCTCTTCCCTCTCTCCTGCCCCTTTGTTTGCTGCCTGGCTTTAAAGGCTTTTTGAACTACCTCATGCAAATTAAGTAAGGCTATTGCTTTTTTAAGAGCCAGGGAACATCTCCTTCTCAGACACACACCAAATTCCCTACTTTGTGCTGTGTATCTTCATCTGTTCCATTGGAATTCTGATTCAAAAATAAATACCATGTGTTTCATTTGTTCTTTCCATGCTGGCAGCTTTCTCAGGTAAGAGCTTCAGAGGCACCTGGGATAAAAGAAGGAAACATATGCTGCCAAAATGAACGTTCAGTTCAATCTTTGATTCTCCAGAGCACTGAAGAACCTGCTTAGATGCTTTGCTGAATCACGGCCTAGATCTTTAATATTTGTCTATTTGCAGGTGTCTGGTCACAAATCCAGTGCAGCCCGTCTGGAGCAGAAGTTAAAACAGCCAGGAGACTCTGCAAAACTCTCCTGTCAAGTGTCTGGCTACACGTACACTAGCCACGGTAGGCACTGGGCACGGAGGTCTGCGGGGAAAGGACTGGAATGGGCGTCTTCAATTACCAACGGGGCTGGTGACACCACATACTACACAGACTCGGTCAAAGGGCGATTCACCATCTCCAGAGACAACACCCAGAACCTGCTGTTCTTGCAAATGGATGGGCTGAAGCCGGAGGACACAGCTGTGTGTTACTGTGCCAGACGGGGTGAACACAGGGTCGGAGAACGTACCCTTGTTCACTCAAAAACTCCTCAGTGGGAGATTCCAGGTCATCTCTCCACCAGATAGCAGCAGTGGCCCACATTAGGAGAGGCCAGGGAAAGACCTAACCACAGCTCAGAATGACACCTGTCCTGTATGCAGGGTCATCTCTTAATGACAGCACTGGTTAAAACACCATTCGTGGGGCTAATGGGAGAATGCTTTTCTCTCCAGCTGAAAATTTCAACTCTCTTTTTGTTGAAATTTTCTGCAAAAAACTTCAACTTTCTGTCAATGAAAAGGTTTATTTAATTTTGAGGAAAGCAGACACTTTCTGGAAACATCTTGGTTTAGCCAAAACCCCAATTCTCTTAAAGTTTTGATGGAAAATTTTGGGCCAGGCCTAATTATTTGCCCTTTTTCAATAGAAGGAGTCCGCTTCAGTAAGGCAAGGAGTGGACAGACAGACATGTTTAGATTATTCTTACCTCCTCTTCCTACTCCCCCAGACCTACCCCTTACTTTGTGTCCTTCCCCTCTTGCATCTTTCCTTTGACCAAGTCCCTGATCCTTCAAGTGGAAGTCAACAGGGCTCCAGAATTTGGAGCATCTTGAAGGGTTGAGATAAAGGCCCTGATTCAGCAAAGCACTCTGCTTCGCATTTCCAGAGGAGTCTAAAGGTCCGTATCCAGGGGGATAAAAGCCCTGTGGCATGACTGTGTCTGGCCTGGGTCAGCTGGCTGGGGCCAAGGGACTAAAAATTGCTGTGTAGACATTCGGGCTGTGGCTGGAGCCTGAGCTCTGGGATCCTCCATCCTCACAGGGTCCCAGAGCTCAGGCCCAGCCCAAGCCTGAATGTGGAAACAGCCATTTTTAGCCGCTTGGCCCCAGCCAGCTGACCCAGGCCAGCAGCGGCTTTATCCCTGTGTAGACAAACCCCAACAGAGTGAGAAACCCAGATCCTATTGAACATAAGAGCTGCCATTATGGTTCAGACCACGGTCCGCATTGCCCAGTATCCTGTCTGACAGTGGCCTATACCAGAGCTTCAGGGGGAGTGAACGTAACAGGGCAATTCTGCAGTGCTTCATCCCTGTCTTCCACTCCCAGCTTCAGGTAGTCAGAGGTTTAGGGTCACCCCAAGCATGGGGTTGCATCCCTGAGCATTTCAGCTAATAGCCATTGATGGACTTATTCATGAATTTATCCATTTTTTAACCATGTTAGAGTTTTGGCTATCAAACCATCCCATGGAAATGAGTTCCACAGGTTAGCTGTGCATTGCATGAAAAAGTACTTCCTCTTCTTTAGTATGAAACCTGCTGCTTATTAATTTCATCTTCAGTGCAATGGAATTTGTTGGTGTATCTCCTTTGTGATTTTTTGAAAATCTCAACCACTGCTAAAATTGGTGCTTAAAAAGGTATGTACTAGTCTGTCTTGTCTCTTTAGGGTAGGATTTTTCAAAGGGGCCAAAGGGAGTTAGGCACCCAGTCCAATTATGGGATTTGGGCACCTAGCTGTCCTTGGGTTCCTTGCAAACCCTAATCTTAAATTTTCGGGGGGAGAATTTCAAAGGCCCAAAGTGCATTGAAATTAAAAATCCACGTGAACTGGCTGCTTAGCTCCCATTCATGCCTTTGACAAGGCTCCCTAAACTCCTCACTGCAGGTTCTTCCGAGGGGTGCACACAGCACTTTACACAACGGGGTCTCTGTTTTGGTGGGGGGCCCTGGGCACTAATGTAAAAACAACAATCTGATGCTCTTCCCCCTCCAAATCTTTTGTTACTCCTCATGTAACTTGACTTCGTACTTCATCATTCCATTTTCCGTGCAGCACATGAGAACAGCAGAGACACCTGGTGGGAATTTAGTTCACAAGGAAGTCCAGGCAACAGGGAATTAGACTGGGTCTTTCAAAGGGACTGAGGGAATGCAACACACAGACTGCCTTGAATTTTAGAGAGCGGGACCTTTTGAAAATCCATTCTTAAACCTAAACCATACAAAGATCTAAGCATATGGAGCTTGATTTCTAAAGAACATCAATGGATTGCACATGGATTGGTCTGTAATGTGCACCAGAAGGATCTGCACATGTTCTGTAGTGGACTTTAACGTAGTACTATCCTCCATGAATTTATCTAGTTCTTCTTTGAAGTCTATAACAAGGTTCAAAAGAGACCGAGATAAATTAATGGAGGATAGGTCCATCAATGGCTATTAGCCAGGATGGGCAGGAATGGTGTCCCTAGCTGCTGTTTGCCAGAAGCTGGGAATGGACGACAGGGGATGGATCATTTGATGTTTCCCTGTTCTGTTCATTCCCTCTGGGGCACCTGGCACTGGCCACTGTTGGAAGACAGGACACTGGGCTAGATGGACCTTTGGTCTGAACTATTGTGGCCATACTTCTGTTCTTCCTGTTTCAGACAGAAATCAACCCCCTGCAGAGCACATTACTCCACACTGTAGACAAAGCTCCTAGTTAAATTTACTCCTACGAGTAGTCCCATTTAAATTAATGAGATTACTCACATGCGCAAAGTGCAGCACATTCCTAAATCTCTGCAGGACGGAGAGGGAGGATGGTCCAGTGGTTAGAACTCACCTGGAATTTGGGAGACGTTGCTTCAACTCCCCGCTCTGGTACCGAGTTCCTGTGTGACCTTGAGCAGGTCACTTTAGCTCAGTGCATAGGTGGGGAAACTGAGGCAGGCAGTAGGAATGATACCCCCTATTTCAAAGACGCGCTGCATCACAGACTGTGAGATGATCAGAGTCTACAGTGATGGGGCCATACAAGTAGTGGAGAGAGAAGTTTGTGGCAGACCTCGCTCCCTGGGCCGGACTGCATGGACCTCTCTGAGTTGATCATGCAAGTGCCCAGCCTTACTCCTTCTGAGTGTCTGATTTTATACGTTGGAGGGTGGCGCAGCCTCCCTATGCAAATGAAGAGGGAGCCCCTTTTCCCTGTTAAAAGGCAGGGACTGGCCCTCAGTGGATGCTCTTTGCAGCAGTCGCTGTGTTCTGCTACCGCAGGGGTCTTGAGAAGAATAGCCATGAACTGTGGGTTCAGTTTTCTCCTCTTGTTGGCAGCTCGCCCAGGGAGGTGAATTTCACTGGGACAAGGAAAGGGGGGAA